ACCCCAAAACCCCAAAACCCCAAAACCCCATTTTACACAAAAAATGCTGAAATAATAGTATTTAATAACGTGTGTTCAGACATGAACGTTTACCAAACTATGCTAGATAGGAGTAAAAGCATCAAAGGACTTGAGCAAGGTACTGAGAGAGATGTTGTGTACCAAGACTTTGGGTAAGTCCTTAGCCTTATCATCTTATAAAATCTCAATTTCTGAGAGTTATTAACACTTTGATAGGTCCCAAATTGGGCTCAAGATAAGAGTCAGAGAGAAGACTAGGTATGGAAGAATAAGGAAGGAAAATGTCTCTTTGAGTTACGAAAATGAAGGAAGTGCTCAAAATTATGATTCGCACGATGCTGCATATGAATCTATTCCACCGGACTGAATGTTCCTGAGAAGAAACAAGACAAGGAAGGTAGGGACTTATCCAATCACTTTGTGTCATTTAAAACCGTGTTATTTGTTCGAAATCGTAGGATCTAGAAATTTCATTTATGTTTCTGGCAATTATTTTGTCTGATGAAATCCTAATATAGATATCCCTAAAGAACCTCAAGATGGTGATGAACGTGAAATCTTTCTTGAACTGGTGAGTCATCTTATGAGCCATCTTTCTATTTTCGTTCAGAATAACGTGTTTCCACTAACCTGCAATTTAGAAACCAAAGCAAGAAATTTGGTCAGACCTTCATTGAAAATTCGGAATTGGGTGATGGACAGAAAAGCCAGTTGAAAACCTATTCGAAGAAATGAAAAAGTGCGTATTATTGTTCTAATTTTCAGAATTTTCCACACCTGGAGCTTTAACTAGGAAGTATCTCGGCAAGGCCATCAGACCTGTTAACTCTGATGAAGCTTTAGAGAGCAAGAAGAACAAATTTACCCTTCCCTTCGTCCGAAGAATTGAGCCAAGGGACAAAATACTGTCAACTCTTAAATATGGAGAAGAGAATATCAAACTTTTAGAAGAGAAAAATACCAAAGTTGCTGAGTGCCAGGCTAATCTTTCTGATGAAACCAGGTCTAGTAACCCTACTACTACTTCACACTGCTCCTCTAACAAGTCCATGGGGCTGAGGAAGAGCTTTCAGCTTGAAGATTCTGATGATCTCTTGTGCCAGAAAAACATTGCTAAAAGAAGGTCTGATAAAAGTAAAGAGGATACTGGTAAACCATTTCTGGTACCCACCACAAAAGACTCTGGCTTCAATTCTCAGGTACTTTTGCTAGTAATCTCTAGAGTTTCCTCCAATCATACATGAGTCTGAACAAGAGTGCTCAAAATATGGTTGAGCATCAATACGAGAACCTTCCATCCACTTCCACTAAGTTCTTAGATCTGTGTCAGAAATACGAATTAAATAACACATCAACTCCAGATTCACCTCAGAAATTTAGTGAAGCAAACAATGAGTATCTGGAAAGTAAGGGCCTCAGTGATGGAGAAGCTAAACCCAGAAGACTGCGTGAGCTCAGATCTAATGGTAGGTCTATCTTTTTACCCTTATAGCCAAACCAAAGATAGCTGGTTTAAAAGACTCAAGATATAAGAGGAACAATTCTAAGAATGCTCTGAATAAATTCTTGAACACTATTGATAGCCCAAAGAAAGCTAGAGAGAGCATAAAAGTACTTCATAGGTCGGATAGGCCTATCAGGAAGGCTATTTATTCCTCTCTAGATCTTGGCAGCAGACTCTCTGCTCTCAAGTTCTCTGGAGATGGAGAGTAGATCTCTCCATTTGCTTGCATTTTTTGGAGTGCTAATCCCCAAAAGATGCATTCTTGGTAAACTTATATGGATCTTTGTCAACGATAATTAGTACAAAAGCGTCCAGAAAGGATTTTAACCCTAAAGCGAGAGCTCTGTTCATCAAAAATTGACCAACAAAGCTTATAAATTATTGAGCAATTTTATCTACCAGTTTTATCCAAAGAATTCTCAAATAAGCTGTGCTAAAGACAATGGAACATATGAGAGCTTTATTCAAGTTTAATTCTACTTGATTAGCTAAACTCATGCACCAGAAATTTCCTGAACAACCGGCCTAGCTGAATCAGGAAACTCAAGTTTGTTGAGATCCGTTTAAATAAGTTACCAAGTTTTACCATAAAATTTACCAAAAATGCGTTTTTGCTTCATTTGTACCTTTCCATCTTGATTAATTAGCTCTAAAGGTTTACCACTTCTTTATTGCTTTAGCTCTCTCTTAAACTATCTATCCACTAAATGTACAATAGCTGTACTAATCAGGGATCCAGTACACTCTGGCTTATAAATGTTCATTCGAGCCTAAAGTGAATTTTCAACATCCCTAACTCTATTAGGGGTTTTGGGGTTTTGGGGTTTTGGGGTTTTGGGG